CGTTATCAGCAAAAATCCTAGCCACTGAATAAAAATCATAGTTATTTGAACACGAAACCCTAACCATCTGAACATGAAACCCTAGCCGCCTGAGCACGAAATCTTTAGCCATGTCTCCGGTTTTCCGACGACTTAAGCAATCTCCTATCTATTTCTTTCCATCGAGATAAGTACCTCGTGCCATAATTCAATCTCCTGCTTTGTTAATTATATAGCATATGAATTGCTTAGTATTATTTCACTATCGATTTTGTTAGTAATTTAGTTCAACACRTCAAATATGATTTGGCTTCTTTGATCTGTTCATTATTTTATTGTTAGTTTGATTCGACAATTAAATTAATAATATGGCTTCGTTGATCTGCTTTATCGATTATAAGTGCTAYTAATATTYCATCATATTATTTCAATCTGATTAATAATCTATGGTATCATTAGTCACATGTTTAATAGATACATAAGAAATCGAACATGTTTAGTTATTGCTTTGTTGGTATAATTCATGATGCATGTTTTATTATTGAGATCTATATATGATAGTTTGTAATTACGATATATGCATTCGTTATGATATGAATTATTGTACTAGTATATTATTATATTCATCTGTTCATAAATCATAATCATGCACTTGCTAGTGTAATCTATAAATACATTGCGAATCATGTCTTCGACATAAATCACCAATGCTGTTATACCAGTGTATGGGATCATCTCTTCAGAGTTCAGACTAATGTAGTTGATAGGTATTTTGTTTGTGTGTATATTTCTCTTTATGATATGGCATACTTCATGTTTAGGTTAGTACTAAGCTTTATATTAAGTTATTGTAAAAAGTGGTATATGCATGCATGCTTTATTTTTGTTTCCATACTAGAACAAATATTTTGATAGTTTTATTGTAGTTCAGCTATTCCTCTTTTAAAAACTCAGTTGATAGTTACAAAAATAATTCTTAAAAATTGTTTATTTATTGTGATATTTTGCATTACTAGCCAATTATAATAATACACAAGACTAATAAATATTGTTTGCAAACTTTGAATTACTACTATCGGTTTTGGTCTTCCTCGTGATTCTGTACGTACATAAATTTTTGGTCATTTTTCAACTTTTACTTTGCTATCATCTTTATGTTACAGTAAAGAGTATAAACTTTGCTAGCGTAAGAGAGAGTGTGAATAAAGTATATATACACGGTTATTAAAACGAAACCGTTTTAAACATATAATCAAAACTCATGAGAAACATAATATTATTACTAATTTCCATTTGGATTATAGAAAACACAGACATCTAAAAGAGATATTTATGAAAAATAAAATAAACGGCTAGACATTCATATACATAATTGTTCCAATGTATTTTTGTTGTGCATCAAAACTTTTCATTATTAACAAAATATAATAAAAACAAAAAAATCCAAGGCCAACTTAGATAAGCAAATCCAAACCAGTCGTTTGAAAAAATTCTAAAATTCACTACAAACAAAGAATCAACCCAAGAAAATTTCCACCAAACATAGAGATAACAAAAATCATAACTTGAGATTGATTAAATCATCTTAAATCAAATGCAATGAGAATATAAAAAGAAGAAAAATTCATAATTTTTCAAGTACAGATGAACTTATTTCTAAATAACATATTAGTATTTCTAATTGGTAATTAATTATACAAGATGTTGTTTGCAACTTATTGACAAGGACCACAAAAGATGCCGTGTTGTAAAAGGGCCAAAGAAATCGATTCCTTCCGTACAAAAGGAAGAGTTTGAACCGTAGATTATATTTCCATTCAACGAACACAATAACGCCACCTGAGCAATCCGTATTTTTCTACAACTAACTAATCATATTTGTACTATCACATGTGTATAGATATCTCGTAATGAATTTTATAAGATGTTGTTTTGCATCTCATTCACGTTTTTTTTTTTTTTGGGTTTGCTACTGAAACTAAAAGAATATCTCAACTCGAAATTTAGATTTCATTTATTTTACGTTATTGTGTTTGAATTACTTGTAAATTTTTTTTAAAGGATAATTTTGAATATTAGCATTTCTAAATA